AATGTAACTGTGCAATTATTCTTAAATATGGATGTGAAAGGAGACTTAAATGTTAAATTAGCACTAGATGTCAATCAAATGTCAAGGAAATAAGGAATAAAACTAGCGATGTGAGGGAAATAAATGTCTAATCTGTTTCCAAGGCCTGTTGAGTCCTCCTATAAAATCTTTCTTAAAGCCCTGGCTGGTTTGGTTCAGTGGATAGAGTGTCAGCCTGCGGACTGAAGGGTCCCAGGTTCAATTCCAGTCAAGGGCACATGCCCAGGTTGTGGGCTCCATCCCAGTAGGGAGCATGCAGGAGGCAGCCAATCAATGATTCTCTGTCATCATTGATGTTTTTATCTCTCCCTTCCTCTCCGAAATAAATAAAAATATATTTTTAAAAAATCTTTCTTAAATTTGTCTCCTAAACAGTTGTAATACTTCCATCTTAGTCTACCATAACAGTTTATTCCCCCACCCCCCGCAGATTCCCCCAGCTTAAACTCAAAGAACATAATGACACCAGATCCTTTTTGAGAAATTTGTTTAATGAATCCAATCGAATCACCTCTTTCTGACTTCAAGACCATCCATAACCCAGTGCCATCTTACCTATACAAGCTTATTTTCCATTCCCCCTAACAGACCACATTTGCTCTGGTTAGGCCATGCTGAATACTATCTCCAAAGCACTACATGCTCATCTCTATCTTTGCCCCTTCTTAAGGTATCGTATCCTTTCTGCTCTGTCTGTGCCATTAGCCTTCGAGGCTCAGATTGAGTTCCAACCCATCCAAAAGATTTTTCTTTAACTCTCTTACTTCTCTGATTTCCCAATACAATTGTAAATGGAATAACACACTCTGTAGCTAATTAAATTATTTTGTAAGTATTTATTAAATGGAAGTCTTGTTTCTTCAACTACGTTGTAAACCCATTGAAGGGATGTAATTCAGTATTACCTCAATTATTTCAATGGGTCTAGACCAGGGGTGGGCAAACTTTTTGACTTGAGGGCCACAATGGGTTCTTAAACTGGACCGGAGGGCCGAAACAAAAGCATGGATGGAGTGTTTGTGTGAACTAATATAAATTCAAAGTAAACATCATTACATAAAAGGGTACGGTCTTTTTTTTTTTTTTTTTTTTTTAGTTTTATTCATTTCAAACGGGCCAAATCCGGCCCGCCTCGGGCCGTAGTTTGCCCACGGCTGGTCTAGACCATTTTATTCTAACATTTTGACCCATTTTGATAGAGTAGATATTTGGACCTAAGGACATGTTGAATTCTTGCTTGTAGGTACGAACATTTGATTCATAATTACATTTCACTGACTATTTTTATTGAGAAAACATATTAAGAGTGAATTCAACTCACCCAATTTAATCTTCAAAGCAATTTCCTAATAAATGCTATGAAAACATTTAAATGTTTTCTGTATTAATGTTTATTTTACTGAAATTTTAATCATAAACTAACTTTTCCATGTTCATCTTACAATGAATATCACATTTTTATAGAGGTATAAGTAACATATAATAACCTTCAAACATTGAAAGTATACAATGATAAATGGCATATGTATACACTCGTGCAATCATCACCACAATTAAGATAGTGAATATACCCATCAGCCCCCAACCCTAACCTTAACCCTAACCCTAACCCTCTTTCAATGTTCCCACTGCCATATGCTCCCCAGAAAATCACTAGTCTGCTTTCTGTTTGTATAGATTAGTTTGCATTTTGAGTTTTACGTGAATGAAATCATATATTATGTACTCTTTTTTTCTGGCTTTTTTCACTCAATGTATTTATTTTGAAATTCATTTACATTGTTATGTTGTATCAATAGTTCAATCCTTTTATTATTTAAAGGTACTCCATTGTATGGACATAATACAATGTTTCTTTGTCCATTCTCCTATTGATGGACACTTAGTTCAGTTTTTAAATATTCATGGTTAAGTATTTGCATGTATATAAGTTGCCATTTCTCTTGAGTAAATACAGTAAGTCCTCATTTAACACTGTCAATAGGTTCTTGGAAATTGCCACTTTAAGCAAAATGAAGTATAAAGAAACCAATTTTATCATAGGGTAATTGATATAAACGAGAGTTAGATTCCTACAGCATATTTCTGATCCCCAAAACATCACCAAATTTCTAAATAAAGACCCCAAACACTTCTAATATTAAATATTGAAGTAAATGTGAGTTATACATACATTTGAGAAAAATTAATAAAAACAAGATAATTACTTTTTAACCCACTGGTTCCAGTTCAGAGTGATGGGTGGCTAGAGCCTCTCCCAGCAGCTCAGGGTAAAAGGCAAAACCCACCTTGGACAGGATGACAGAGCACATCATACACACACATGGCAGATTATAATTGTAGATCACGCAGGGAGAACAAAGGGTAACATATTTAACTGCAGCAGTGTTTGACTATATTCTGCACAGTGAGAAAACCTGAAGTCATTTTCAAGGTCCACCATTTCTTACTTCTTTTCAGTCGGGTCAAGTTTCTAAACTTTCTAAATCTCCATTTTCCGGCTAATAAGAAAATAGGATTCCACTGAGTCTCCTATCTACCTACTCCCGGACTTCTGTGAGGAGCAAATGAGATGAGGCATGGGAAAACACTTCACAGGCATTTGGTTAAAGTGTAAAATGTTTCCACCTGGCTATAAAGCAAGTTGTGTTCCTGGGCTGAAGAAACTGCAAGGAGGCTAATCACTAGAGCAGTGGTTCTCAACCTTGGCTGCACATTAGAATCACCTGGGAATCTTTTTAAAATCCTGATTTCTGGGCCTCATCCTCTGGAAATTCTGTTTCTTTGTTATGAGGCGAGGCCACAACATTAGTAACAAAGAAACAGAATTTCTGGAGGATGAGGCCCAGAAATCAGTATTTAAAAAAGATTCCCAGGTGATTCTAATGTGCAGCCAAGGTTGAGAACCACTGCACTAGAGAGAGGAAGCTGGGTGTTGCTACGTGACGTCATTACCCGGCGCCCACAGCCACCATTCCTGGGCTGGGTGCCGCATTTTGCGCCATGGCAGCATTGGCTGCGATTTGGTGGGGTGTCGTTTCGGTGGGGTGTTGCTTCGGGGTGGTGGCAGGGCCAGTGTCCCACTTGGGGGAAGCCAAGTGTTGTTTTGTTGGCACCAGGTCCACGCTGCTGTTTCTCTGTAAATGGCCAGTGAGCATCACGGCAGCTCCTGCGTTGAGTGTCTGCCCCCTGGTGGTCAGTGCACGTCATAGCAACCAGTCGGATGGGCAGAGAGACACAACATATACTAGTATATACAGATTCCTTTCCTAATGTTTTCTTTTTTTAAATTTGATTTTATTTACTTATTTATTGTTAATCCTCATCTGAGGATATCTTTTCATTGACTTTTAGAGAGAGTGGAAGAAAGGGGGAGAGATAGATAGAGAAACATTGATGTGAGAGAGAGACACATTGATTGGTTGCCTCCCACATGGCAGGGGATCAAGCCTGCAACCGAGGTGCCCTTAACCAGAATCAAACCCAGGACCCTTCTGTGGGCTGATGCTCTATCGACTGAGCCAATCTGGCTAGGGTCCTTTCCTAATATTTTCTCTAATGAATTTAGTTTCCCTTCTCATCCCTCTTGATTCTGGAAGTTCTCAATTAATACTTGAATTGATTTTTGATCTAAGAAAGATGAGGTACAACATTCCTTTCTGACACCAGTGGGTTTAAATAATTGTATTTTACTTACTAATTCATTCAAGTGTCTGATTCTCAGTTTTGTTCATTCTGTGGGTCATGCATATGGCAAATGTAATTTCTTGCAACATATTCATTTTCATTAACCCGTGTGGCCACGAAGCAATTTTGACAAATTGTAATTGTTTCCTGTATTTCTTTTTCTGAAGTAGAGTCTATGACAGATAAACATTTGTGGAGATTTCACTAAGACAATTAGATTGTTGATGGATTGTTCAAATGGAAATGAATGTAAAACAGATGCATAGGATATTCAAATTAATTATAACTGAATATCTTCAAGCATTCTGATAGTTTTGCTGGGTAATTTTACTGGCTATTAGTGAAAAGATTTCAATAACTCTGATTGGGGATGGTGGGGTGGCAGTGGCTTGAATAGTTAGGTTCAGGTTCTGAGAATGAACTAAAATCCAAGATTGATTAGCTTCATATGACCAGTGTTATACCTTTAGAATTCCACCTAAAACCAAAACCTGTATTTCAAAAATGAACTTTAAGGTTGTTTCATGATCAAAGAGTTTTCCACCAGCTATACGTAAGATATTTTGGCGATCTTGGCACAACCTCAAAGAATGATGGAACAGAATGCGGAGAACTTTTCCAAGTTGTGTAAGGCGGCAGTGTGGCTGAGACCCACACACACACTGAAAAGAGAGGCTTCCTTGAAAACATCTGAAAAGTCTTTTCTTATTTTGGAATTCTAAATTATGGCAACAATTCACATGGGCTCAAAACTCAGTGCACTTCTTCTGCACTGATATTCCTCCCCAAATGATCCCCAATCATTTAACCAGTCAACGATTCCTGAGGCATTTGTGGTAAGCGTTTCCATAAGGCGACTGTCCTAAAAGCTGTTTCAACATATTCTGAAACGAACCCCTTTCACCCCATCTAATATACTTGCCTTTGTTTCGCAGAAAGAAAAAGGTGAAGCAAGTTAGAGATTTCGGGACATACGGCCAAATGACCTACAGTTAAGCTGGTGTCGCTTTGCAGGATTTTGGTACCCAAAGCAACGGAACCGGGATTTAGCATCCTTCCTCTGATCACACATTTCTTAAAGCAAGCGTTCTTTCTGCACGTTTCAACATCCTCAGTTCCCTACCCAACACCTCCTCCAAGCCCGCCCCCCGGTTCCTTCCCACTCTACCTCGCCCCCCCACCCCGCCCCCAGCATGCGCATGCGTTCTAAGAACCCCCTACACTCACGGCAGAAGCTGAGAGTATTGTCGGGGGCTATTCTCTCTCCCAGGAACATGGCGGCGAGTCAGGGAGGTGGTGGTAACAGTGGGGGCGGCGGTGGTGGTGGAGGTGGAAGTAGCGGTGGTTGTGGCGCTGCCGGAGGAGGCGGTGGAGCCGGAGGGGGAGGCGGCGGCGGCGGGACCGCGGTGCTGCCCATCCCGGTACCGACTCTTTTCGGGCAGCCTTTCCCCAACGGGCCGCAGTGGAACCCGGGGAGCTTGCAGCCTCAACACACCGCGAGGAGCCTGGACCGGGCCCTGGAGGAGGCGGGCAACTCCGGCATCCTGAGCCTCAGTGGCAGGAAACTCCGAGACTTCCCGGGCAGCGGCTACGACCTGACGGACACCACCCAAGCAGGTGACAGGACGGGACTGTGGGGCGGCGAGGGAAAGCGGGGCTAGGAGCGAGGAGGTGGGGGGAATGGGTGGCTGCGTGGCTGCGTTGTTGGACTCTGCTGGTCTGGGCGGGTGCACGGGGAGGCGATACTGACACAGTCGGAGCAGCTTGTGAATGTGGGGGGCAGAGAAGGGAATAGGGGAGGGGGGAGGAATGCTGCCTGAAGGATGTATGAAACCGGGTGTTATGTGGGGGGTGAAAGAGCGTTATTGTTAAAGCGAGTTTCCCTAGTAAGGGGTGGGGAGGGACGTATTGACACCTTCCTTAATGCACTTCTTCCAACTCTCCTGGATGTTCCCATCTTTCCAGGAGTGGGGGAGTAGAGACAATACATAAAATCATAATCTATACATATTCCTTAAAGGCATACGTGCCTGCAAGAATGGTATATCCCTTTTCATAGTACAGCAGCAGTATTGCCACGGTTTTTGTGTTCTTATTTTGTGTTTTGATCGTCTTAGAATATGCTTGCCTTCTTGTCACGTATACCTTAAAGACCGACATTTTTCATTTTTCCTGGTGGTGAGAAGGTAATGGTGCTTAAATTAGTATTTGCTGCAAATTAAATCATTAATCACATGTCTAGTTACCAGGGGCAAGAATCCTTGTTTCATGTTAGGCTTAATTTTTATAGCAGAAATAGCCCAAAATTTTAAGGGCATTTTTGAGAAACAATGAACTCCATTCTTTATGGAGTTGTGGGTTAATGGCTTATCATTTTAGATGAAAAATTGGCTATTGTAATGTTCTTCATATACTTACTCTCTGGTACTCTTTGTTGTGGATGGCATTTTTTGTTATGAATGCACTCTCTTTCCCCTCTGCCTTATAAACCAATGCTGAATATTTTAGGTGTGTTTGGGTGTAATGAAAGGGTTTTTTGCTTTTCATAATCTTTAAATTTGTTATTTATGTCGTTTTTCATCTGCTTTGCTGAAAGAGATCATGGACAAAATTACTTTAATAGTGTAGCAATTTTGCAACAATGTAGCAAGTAAATGCACCCATAATGAGAAGTAATAAATGGCTTCTTATTTTCATAACAAGATTTCAGTGTATTCAGTCTCTGGCTGTTAAATCAAAGTATGTGCTTGGAGAAAGGTGGGGAGAGGAGGACAACCTAAAACTGAATTATTCCACCCAATTATTCTTTTAGGAATTACCCTAAGAACTATAAATGTGTAATTGATCACTGATTCTGTATTTTGGAAAGCATGTTTGAGTATTTCCTCCTTCACTCTGAACAGATTTCCTAAACAGTATGTTCACATATTCATGAATACATTGGCAAGATATTATACTACTTGGTATGTTCTTCAAAGGCTTCAAGATAAATGATTTCAAACTGTCATTATTGGGATATATTGTTTTTCTTTTATAACCTATAAAGGATCTCTCTGTATGTATAAGTTTAAGCATCTTAGCGTGGCATTCAGGGCTTTCTTTTACTGTCTGGCTCCAATTTACTATTGCAACTTTACCTCCCCCAAAGCTCCTACATAGAACCCTCTGTTCCAACTAGGTTAACTCCCTGCCCCTCAAATATTTCTGCCTCATCTTTGTACAAGGTCATCCACATGCTTGGGATTTACTTCCTTTCTCCACCTATTTAATTTTGTTCAAGGCCCAGCTTTTCCAAGAATCTGTCTCCAACTCCCTTAGTACATAGCAGTCTCCTGTTTCTTTGAATTCTCATGGTATTTATTGTCTTTACCATTTACTTGCTAGTACTGGCTTTATTTTCTTTTTATGTTTGTGTCTTGCTGTCTCTGAGGAGATGGAGAGCTCTTTAAAGGTAGGGAGTAAGTCATATACTTGGTTAGTCTTGTCATTATATATTGCTTATGTTGTACTTGATAATATTTTTCATAAATCTGAATATCATGTGGTTATAATTGTTGGCTTTTAAGCCCTTCAGTTGGTTTTCTGAGGCAGGCATTAACAGGAACCAGAACCATATTTGTTCTTGGTAAAGCATTCATTTATCATGAATTTTATCAGGGTCTAGAGCAGTGGTTCTCAACCTTCCTAATGCCGCGACCATTTAATACAGTTCCTCATGTTGTGGTGACCCCCAATTTCATTGTTACAAATTGAACATAATTAAAGCATAGTGATTAATCACAAAAACAATATGTAATTATATATGTGTTTTCTGAGGGTCTTAGGCGACCCCTGTGAAAGGGGTTGTTGGACCCCCAAAGGGGTCGCGACCCACAGGTTGAGAACCGCTGGTCTAGAGTAATACAGGACTTTTTGAGATAATTCTACTTCATTTCACTTTTTTTTCCAGGTGAATGTATGTTCCTTGTGGGAACACTTCAGAATTTAGATGAGAAATCTGTGAATGACTCATTTGCCATTTTTTTGATAAAATTCAGCCATGAACTATTTAGGGGCCGTATATTTTAGTGTGTGTTATATATAAGTGAAAGGTGAAAGTAGGTATAGTGGAACTGAAGAAAAACAGAGCATGTTTGAGATTTTACATACATATGTACACATATACACTCAAACACATATACATAGATGCATTGTATATCCTTTGTTTGATTAGCAGTTGTTTGTTGATATTGCTATAATTAAGATGACTCTCAGAGGGATAATGGTTCAGAACCAAACTGCTTAGATTACCATATAATGGTTTATTGGATTGGGAAGAGCCTGGAAAAAGGAAAAATAGGAAGCTATTCTGTTAATCTAGGTGTGAGGTGGTGAGAAAATCTGGGTTAAAACAAAATTAGATAAGAAGAGTAAATTGAAAAATTTTCAAAGGAAGCAGGGAAGGCTTTTTGCATTATTTTGCTGTTCCTTACATATACATAAGATGAAATAGGCCAGTGGTTCTCCACCTTGGCTGCACATTAAAACCACAAGGGAGTGTTTTTCTTAAACAAAACAAAACTATCCCTGGGCCCCACCCCAAACCAATTAAATCAGAATCTCAGGGGCCAAGAGACTTTTAGAAAAAGTCTTCCTAGTGCTTCTAATTTGCAATCAAATAACTCTAAATAGCTTACTTTTTAAGGCACTCAAGAAACATTTATTGTTTGAATGACTGAGAACTGATTAAAGTTTACTGACAAACCTAAAGCCATTAGTTAAGAGGGTCAAAATCCAAAGTAGTAACTAAGTGTTAAGAAGTTCTAGTTGAATATTCTTTTAAATTGACTTGTGTGAATCAGAGACTCATTTTTTAAAAATCATGTCTGTAGTGAATAAAAACTTACCAGGAAGCTATAGTTTCTTCAGTTCCCACACATTACTCTGGTTTACATTTAATACTGTTTGGTAAATTTGCATTAAGAAAATAGTGCCCCCAAAATATGTAGCAGCAAAATCTTGTTTTCTCTATTAATAGTCTTGCTATGAGGGAAAATGGACAGTAGGAAGCAGTTGGCAAAGTCGATCTTCTGTGTCTTTTTACCTCTCTACGTTTCTGGAGCTTGTTTTCCTTCACCTGCCCTCTCCCTCCTGCTGCCTTTCTTGTTTCTTTTTCCCTCTTCAGCTTCACTCTGCTTCCTTTCCTGGGTTGGAGCTCAAAGCCAACTAATTATGGTAGCCCTTCCAGGAGATTAACATTTAAAAGAAGAGTTTGCTAATTTAATTGAGTCTCGAATTGATGGTTTGTGCTTGTGACCTTTTTGAAAAGATGTGCCTGCCTGACACGTTTTGATTAAAATCATCACCCCTTTAAAGACATAAAAACAGGCGTCAGTAAGTTGATAACTCATTTTAGGAAAGTAGCTGACTCTTGTAATGTCCCATCTTTGATGACCTATAGGTAGGCTTGGCAAGACAAAGGGAAATTGCCTAGAACTTTTTCGTCTGTCTGGATACTCTGATAATCTGTTGGCCTTAAGAGAACTTGATAATGATTTTAGTGGCTACCCTGTCATATTTGACTTTGTCACCCATGCTACAAATAAGTCTGAGCCTACTTGCAGCTGCTCCCTCTGCTTTTTCATACCTCTTTATATCCATAAACAATAGGTCTGTGAAACAGATTTATGAATTCTTACATACATCTGATTGTGCTGTGTCCTGATTAATCACATGTTTTCCTGTAAACCAAGAGTCAACTCTAGTATTTCCTACATGTGCTGGTTCACCTCTTCAACTGTGGGGCATGGTGCATTGTATCAGGTTGTAAAATGGAGCCAGATAAACTTTGCAGCATCTGATTTTTTAAAAAAATGGACTATTGTGTTTTTTTTTTTTTTAGAGAAGTTTTATGTTCACAGCAAGATTGAGCAGAAAGTACGAGTTTCTACACATGCATAGCTTTCCCCATTATCAAATCCCCCACCACATGGACACATTTGTTATAATTTATGAACCTACATTGACACATCATTATCACCCAAAGTCCCTGGTTTACATTAGGGCTCACTCTTGGTGTTGGACATTTTGTGGGTTTGAACAAATATATAATAACATGTATTCGCCATTAAGTATGGAAGAGTTTAACTGCCCTCAAAACCCTCTGTGCTTTTCCTGTTTATCCCACCTCCCCCCCCCCCCTAATTCCTGGCAACCACTCATCTTTTTATTTTGCAACATTTGATTTTGTTACATAGGTGAAGGCCCTCTCAGTGCATTCAGTGGAATGAGTTTGTGATTTTGTGGCCTGATTCAAATATCTGTTTTGTTTTATGTAAGAAATGTCTCCCGGAAAAATTGAATGTGAAGCACATTTTTGACAATTGACTCGCATTTTTAAAATATATTTTTATTGATTTTAGAGAAGAAGGGAGAGGAAGAGATAGATAGAAACATCAGTGATGAGAGATAATCATTGATCAGCTGCCTCCTGCACGCCCCCCACTGGGGGATCAAGCCTGCAACCCGAGCATGTGCCTTGACCAGAATCGAACCCGGGACCCTTCCTGCGGGACCCAGTCTGCAGGCTGATGCTCTATCCACTGAGCCAAACTGGTGGGTATTGACTCACATTTTAA